AATTGGGGGCCTTTAGTTGGGGGCTGTCGCCAAAGCTGACACCATATTCAGGTGAGCTTGCAGGCCATCAAACAGACTGGAGGATCTGGAGATCCTGAGAGATGTTTATGCCGTGATCTATCTAAGGGATGGACATTTACCACATTGCTCCTTACAGTGACAAAGGGGTTGCAAGGAGATGGGTAAGGAGTTTGAAGAGCCTACTGTCACTCCATCTGGGGATTCTGTGGGTTATAGCTGGCTTGAATTAATGATGGTTTAGAGAGTTCAGCAATTTTGTGGGTGATATTATCAAATTTGTTGGTCTTACTGACTGTTTCAAGCTTCTCTTGGTCAGAATTTAACTCCTAAAATGACTGGATTTTAAAACAACATGTTCTCTAGCAGAGGGGTACACATTAAACCATGGGTGCATCAAAATAAAACTCAATTAATTAAATCCCATTTAGAAAACTGTAGAAATGTGTCACATAAAATATTTCTATATAGTAACTCGTCACTTTGCTGGCAGCTCAATTTTCAGTTTTTTTTCAAATGTTGTGGCTGATGGAGAATGAAAAATACTCTTTGAGACCAATGCCTTTCAAGAAGCTTCAGTTTCTCATTTTCCTTTTAATTTTTCATGTTTTCATGTAAGGTATAGGAAATAAGTGGTATGTCTAGCTATTAAGTAACAGAACTCCTGGACTGAAAACATTTTGTTGTCTGTTGTTTTGCTTTGAACTCACATAATAAGACTTCCTTAATAAGCACACAGATGTGGCTGAGCATTGGCTGTCAGAGAGGGAATCTTAAGGGTAAACCAGGATATTTTGTCTCAGCAGAACATATTTTTGTCAAAAGTGAACCAAAGAAGTGAAAAAACCCTGTCTTGTGATATTGTTGAGCAGACTACTGTTTGTAAAATCTGAGGGACAGTCTATAAATCCAGAAGCTCATAGGAAACCTCTACTGTAACTTAAAAAGAAAACAAAATTAATTTTGTTGTTTCCACTTTGATTTACCTTGCTCCCAAATGTTCTGCCCCTCTTGGTGTTTTCCAAACCTCTTACCCCTACTTTCCTATTTTTATTAGATGGGAAAGCATTGTTGCAAAAGGCTTCCAGATTTCTGGAGATACGAACCTGCATTCAGGACTAAACCCTAAGTTGCTGCCAAATATGTGACTAAAAATCATATATTTCAAGTATGTTTTTAAAATACATGAACTTGACATATGTACTTTAAGACTCTCCGCGGTAAAAAACTGAGCAAAATTACTCATGATTCAAATATAAGGGAAACAAACAAAGAAAGAAACAAGAACTGCCAAATCTTCAACTGCAGAAAACCACTGATTTATTTTCTTTCTGTAAATGTTTTTTGTAAATGTTTTCATCCTTCCATGGTTAAGCAAGGATCTGCTGCTGAAATGAGGAAAAAAAGGAAATGCAGAGGCAATGGGAGCAGGGACAGGTGGCCTGGCGCCCAAGGCTTTCGTCTACTTTCTATTACCACTGGTTATATGGAAGACAGAGGGCAGAGAGCTGTACCTGACTGACTGAAGTAAAATGTATTAATCTGGAGCTATGTGTTAATAAATGTATTAAGCTGGGAGCTTTAAGCCACAGGTCCTGCACCAGCACATAGCCCACCACAGCAGCTTCTGCTGAAGGCCACATGCCAGGCTAGTGAGAAGTTTTCCCTCATGCCTGATTTAGACAACAGTGTGGAGCAAGATGTTTCCAGCAGTGTTCGGAGTATGTCTGGAGGAACATAGATAGACTGATTTGGGGGAAGTCTGAAAAGACAGTGTCTGCTCCTCTTCCCCTTGAGGAAGGCTTCTTCCCCTTGCTCTCAAGTCTGCAATATTTCATGTACTTCTGGAAACAACTTCTTGGTTATAAAACATTAAAGCCCAGTTTCTGAACCGTCTTAGTACAGGAACTTCCAGCCTTCAAGCTCAGTGAAGAATTTGAGGCTTGATACGTGAGAAGATGAGAAGAAAGGAGCAGCTTGTTTTCATAAAACACCTTCCCCTTGCCCACTAAAGAAAGGCTGCAGGAAGGCAAAAGGCTGAAGACTTGGGTGCAGGAGCCAAAGGCTCAATCCTACACCTCTGCCACCTGGGCAAGGCAGTCTCATCCCTTTCTCTGAGCTATGAGTTATTGTAACATATGTGGGCCTGATCTTCACGGCTTCCTTGATGCTAAGGATGTAGCAGGGATGGTGGGACAACCCAGCCCCAGGTGGTGATGGATCCTGGCTCTCCAGAGTCGTGAGCAGGGTGCCAGCAGCCTTTCTACCCTACTCTGGAGGGACAGCAACTCCAGCTCCGTCCTGCACGTGTAGGGCCAGGCTCTATCACTCGTGCTTTTGAGAAGCACCAATGCACTGTCTTCCAGAAGCATGGAGACTTGGCAAGCAGAGAGAGACCTGGCACTGTGAGTGAGTGACAGCAGCACTGGATGGGACTGGAGCAAAATGCCCCTTTCTGCTTCTCCCTGAGGCAGGGACATGACCCACAGGGATGGGAGACTCACATCCAGAGCTGGGCACTAATGAGCTAAGTCCTTCAAATCCTGGCATTGCCCATGGAAAGACAGTGAGAAAAGAAGGTGTCATCCAGCTGCAGGCAGTCTATGCTGACTGATCCCACCACTCTGCCCCTTGCAGAAAATCTTGGCAAGGGGTAAGGAGGAGGGATAAGACACATGGCCATGGATGCATAATGCAGGTGGCCGAGGGAGAGAGCAACACAGAAATGTAGAAGTTGAAAACAAAAAACAGTATTTCCCTTTTTCTCTTGACACTGAGTGCCAGCAGGGGAAACATCGCATTGTGACATCACCTGCTGGTGGAAGGTGACGTCACTGAGCAGCAGACTGTGATATCACTGGGGGATGCATTATGACATATCATCCCTCACTTCTTATCTGTGGGCAAAGCCTCAGCCAGTCTGGCTCCAGCCTGAACTCCATCAAGGCAGGACTGTGAAGCCAGGCTTCTCTAGTGCTGAGTGTATCTCAGTGCACACCCAGAGCAATCCCTCCTGTTTCCTTGTCCCTGACTGATTCCAGCAGCTGGGCACTGTGGGTGCTTGCAGCAGTGAAGGTTGGCTGTGTGGGACAACGTCCCTTGGGGTGGCCAGGTGTTGGTGATGGGGCTCAGGGATCTAAGAGTGTGTTGTTCTTGAGGGGCCTGGACAATTCTTCCTCCCCTTCCCAGGATACCGGTGACCATGGTGTCTCCCTCCTGTGGTGTGTGACACCAGGGAGGGCAAGCAGCTCCTGATCCTCAGCTCTGCCGAGTGTGCTGCAGGGCACAAAAATGGCTTCGGAGACAGACGGCAACTGCTCCATCTGCCAGGACACTCAGAAGGACGTGGCTTCTGCTCTGCCCTGTCACCACCGTTTTTGCCAGAGCTGCATCCTGCGGTGGACACACATAAATCCTGTGTGCCCACTCTGCAGAAGAATGATAGAGACTGTCAGGTTTTCTGATGACTCCCTGGAGATTGTCATCACAGCCCCTGATGAGCTGCCAGATGCCATCAGCCAGGCAGGAAGAGCTCCTGATGGCCCTCAAGGAAACAGCCCCCGTTCCCCTCCACAAGGGACACCACCTCAAGCTGTCGGTGGTGTCCTGCCTGACCTCTGGGCAGAACTTTTCCGTCGACAACAGCAACTCCTGGACCCGCTGCGGCCCTGGCTGCACCAGAGGCTGGAGACCATCTATGGGGACCAGTGGTGGCTGGCAAGGAACGCACAGAGCAGCATCCTGCATGCCCTCTGTGTCTTTGGTCCAGATGTGGAGATCATGGTCCAGAGGCTGCAGGACATCCTGGAGGAACACACAGTGCCACTGGTCCAGGACACCATCAACATCATTGTGGGTCAGTGCAGTGAGGAGGCCAGGAGGCTGCTGCGTTCCCACGCTGCTGGGGATGAGGACGACAGCCCAGCAGCCAGCACCAGCTCCAGCAACTCTAGCTCGAGCTCCTCCAGCTCCAGCTGCAGCAGCTCGCGAGAGGGGACTCCCACCAACAGCCCTGCAGTCTCTGTGGAGGAGGAGGAAGCTGGAACAATGGAGGCCTCCCCACCCAGACATCACAATCTGCCACACCTTGTGCCTGTCCCTGCAGACAGGCACAAGGACCAGCCTCAGGAGGAGCCGGGGCAGGCAATGACAGTGGCAGGTCCCTCTGCCCACGGCAGCACCTGTAGCCCCTCTACTCCCAGCCAGGGCAGGGACCGCTCACCTCGGGGGCCGTGGCGCCCCCCAAAGAGGAGGGCCCTCAGCTCCCAAGACTTTCCCCAGCCCAGCAAGAGGTCACCCCGCCGGCAGCAATAACAGGACTCTTGGAACTCTTTATTCAAGGAAAACCAAATAATTTTTTATTTCATTCATGCAATCTCTAGGTGCTGTTTTCTTCCCCTTTCTGGTGCTCTTCCCTTTCCCCTTATGCCCCGCTTGCTGGGGGACACAGCCTTGGGCCCTTGAGCCTCAGGACCATGTTGGTGATGTTTTGTCTCCCAGGAAATCCCACTGCAGCCATGCATTCACTGTTCTGTAGTGTGAGGCAGAAATGTCTTCAAGAGTCCAGTCCTTGCTGCTTGAGGAGAGCTTGATCTCTCTCACTAAGTAAATTACTAAGGAAATACACTCTTTCCAAGAAATTTTTCTGAGCAGCATTCTCTCTACACTAGTGAGTGGATCACAAAGAGAACCAAGTGTTTCACCAGCAGTTACATGGGCAGAATTTACCACCCAGACTTTTAGAAAGCCCTGTGTCTAGGTAATCGGTCTGCTGCAAACTTTCCTTATGACTGAAGTTTATCCATCGATCCAGAGGCAAGTACTTTTGGCAATCTGAGTTGGAGTTCCTCAGTTCTGCTTCACTGCCAGACTGTGGAACAAGCTGGCTGTGCGAAGAGAACTTTACACTTTGCAAATTAAGCAGATGCTAAACTGACTAATACTGCAGAGATGTGAATCCAAACACTGCAGATGTGAACTGACTAATACTGCAGATGTGAATCCAAAACCCTGCCAGAGTTGCTGGTATGGACTCTGCTGATGGCTATCTTAAACTCAAATCTTCTCACAGCATTAGGGAAAGATCACAGAATGGATGTGGGTGCAGAGAACCTTGGAGGGTCTCTGGTCCCAGCTTCTGCCTAAACTGGGTTGGCGCTGGGGTTAGACCAGGTGCTCAGGGCTTTGTCCAGATGGGGCTTGAAACCACCAAGCAGAGAGATGGCGAAAACCTCACTGGGAAACCTGCCCCCTGCCAGTCTATCCTCATGGGGGAAGGAGGACCCTGGTCTCCAGCCTGAACTGCCCAGTTTTAGCTGAACTGCCTGCAGTGTGGGAAGGCCTGCTGCTACAACAATGGGAAGTGGAGGCTGATGTCACCAAGCTGTGAACTGTGACATCACCAGGTGATGGACTGTGACCTCACTTCCCTCACAGCTTATCTTGGGAAGCCTGGGGGACAGAATGCCTTTTGTGCTGTCACTGGGTTTGGAGGCTGATGTCACTGGGGAGTAGATTGTGACATCACAGTGTATTATGACATCTTATCCCTTCTGCTTCTGTGTGTGCAGAGCTGGGCCTGTCTGGTCGCAGGTTGAACTTCATGTGAGCAAGACACTGAAGTCTGGAGAATCAAGCCAGGCTTGTCCAGTGCTGGCTGGCACCTGGCATTGGCAGATCTCAGTGCTAGTCCCAAGGCCATCACTCCTAGCCCTGCCTGGTTCAGGCAGCCAAGCACTGTGGGTGTTGGCAGCAGTGAAGGTTGGCTGTGTGGGACAATGTCACCCCAGGGTGGCTGAAGGGGTGCAGTGAGCTCAGAGGATGTCCTTCTCAAGGGACCTGGGGATTTCTTCCTTCTCTTCCTGCCATAGCCAGTGACCATGGCCTCTTCTTCCTACAGTGTGTGACATCAGTGAAGGTGAGCAGCTCCCGATCCTCAGCTGTCCCCAGTGCGCTGCAGGGCACAAAAATGGCCACGGAGGCAGATGGCAACTGCCCCATATGCCAGGACACTCGGAAGGACGTGGCTTCTGCTCTGCCCTGTCACCACCGTTTCTGCCTGGGCTGCATCCTGAGGTGGGCTCAGAGAAATCCATCATGCCCACTCTGCAGAAGGACGATAGAGACTATCAGGTTTTCTGACAGTGAAGACGATTATCTGGAGACAGCCATCACAGCCCCCAAGGAGCTGCCAGATGGCAGCAGCCTGGCAGGGACAGCTCCCGAAAGCCTGGATGAGAAC